TTAGGGATCCTCAATACGGCCCCCCTGAGCTCCCACGGTTCTGAGGTCCCTGTAGATTGATTTAAATGGGATTGTTGAGAATCCTTCCTGTATCTTTAGGCCCCAGAAATCAAAACACATCATAAAGGAGGTCCAACATTACCACTATTATTATCAATGTTATTGCTATTCTTATTACTGACTAGTATTCAGGACCTTGGGGTTGAAGGATTTGGGGTTGCAGCTTTCGGGGTTCAGGCTTTTGGGTTGAGGTTTTTGGGTTTAGGGTTTAGGTTTGAGGGTTTAGGGTACACCACAAATTTTAGGGTTTAGGCTTCAGAGTAAGCCACAAGGGGAACTACATGAGCTATAGTCTAAACCCGTCAAGGGGCTTATATTGGGATTGCATAAGCTTCCGAGTGCAGGGCTGATTAAGTGGGATACCAGGAGTTTAGACTATAGCTCGCATGTGGTTTCATGTTAGTTTGGGATGTTAGTTTGGAGAAGGGTGGAGTTTGGGGGTTCAGGGCGATGGGCTGTAATATGGGCGCACGTGGGAGTTTCCACAGATAGGGGGACTTCTGCAGGGACCCCATATAGACAGTCCATAATATGTAGACATCCCCAAAAAAGGACCTCCTAATATGAATTTTGGGAACCCCACATATGGTGACATTCTTCACCGGTTTCTCTGACATGAGACTGTGTGAACGTCCAGCGAAAAGCTTTTAGTTGGGATTTCAGAGACGCATGCTCTGAAGTTCATCGTACCCCTTTTTACAAGGAACCCTTGAAATGGGGACCCTTACGCAGAGTCTGCAGCAGATTATTTTTTGCTTGGGGATACTGTAGTCTGCAATGTAAGATAATATCAGATGCCACCTTCAGCTACATTTTTCAAGCTCGAATTACAAGGAGATTCATCTGCGATGTCCTTTCTCATGCGTTTAAACTGACGTGGTTTGTTGGCCCTCTGATCTGCTTCTAATAGACACCCTAAACCCTAAACCGTAAACTGGGAGATGTTGAATGTTGAGGCTTTCAGATTAGGATTCCCAATGCCCTGCCTAGGAGCGCGAGGAGGAACGGCTGAAGAAGCGCCAGGCAAGAGAGGGTCATCTGACAGGTTTCAGGATGGGGTCGCAGATGTCTTAAGGGTGTGTGGGATTTAAAGCTACTTCAGTTCCGACGTTAAACAAGCTGACCCTAGCCCGCACGATTTCAGAATCAATGCCCTGGTGCAGGAATTCAAGCAAGAGATGCTCAAGCAAGGTGAGCACGCGTGCCGTGGCTCAGGAAGCTTACCTTTGGATAGCTGGGAATGAAGGAATGGAAAAGAAAATGGTAGCTTCTATCATGCGTTGCATTGGGACTACTATAAGGATCCATCCTCAATTTCTGGCCAACCAAAGGTAAGGAATATGTACTTCAGATGCAAACATTTCCTAAGAGTCAGTGTAGTGATGGCTTGACGCCGGTGACCTGTTTGGCACCGGTGAGGCACCGCCCATTTTATTAATTGTATGCTCTTCGGGCGGCCTGGTTAGTTCCTGTTTCCACTCATGGCCCCAGGGCCCGTGGGAGGGGTGGGTAAGCTGGGTTGCCGTTGAGGAAGTAAACTTTAGTCGCCATATTATGGGTATGCAGCCAGTAAATAACGGGGTTTCATTGTTATTGCAACTTAGTTTGAATTCCTCAATAACCAGCTAGTCAGGAGTGCTGGCCTTGCGCCTATCACAGGAAAGATGAGGCTTCATATTATGAGGTCCTAAGCGACCCCTCCATGGCCCGATGTAAGGACGCCTGCTTACAAGAGGCAAGAGATGCACCAAAGCATCGTAAGATCTAGGTTTCACTGGGTGTCACTATACATCATGCTTGTATTGGCTCATTTTGGGGTAATATTGAGATAATGGAAAATGATATGAAAACTTCTATAATGGGTTTTATACTGTAGGGTATATATTGGGGTTATATTAGCGATTATTCTGTTGTTTGCCCCTACCACCTGCTTCGTGCCACTCATTCCTGTTTTTCAAGCTGCGAGCCAGACTCAGGCAGTGGAGACTGGATTCGCAGAACCGGGAAACCATCGAGAAGTGGGAGAAAGAGGCCCTAGGGATCCAAATAGCCCAATGTAGGTAATATTTACAGACTTTGGGGCCCAATGCAGGTATCATTTATGTACTTGGATCCCTAGGGAGGCTGGGAACATGCAGCTGGAAGTCTCCCTTGGCATCCAACATCTGTTCGGTGGGCTTGTGTTTTGCAGTGCGGTTTTGGCGCTTTTTTGTGGGTGATCGTGTGTTACACAAAGACGGTCTGGGAGAGCCTTTCGGGGGGAGCAGGTGAAACGAAATGCTCCCTGCAAGAAGCAGGGACAATGTGATTTTACTAACCACTAGCTGCAAGGCCTATGCCCGTCTCCCACAGATCTCAGACCTCAGACGCCGCTTGGTGGGAGCATCCCCATCCTTTGTAGGGACCTCCCAGAATCCCTTTTCAATCTTACTTACATATACACACCTATAGATATGTTAACACTCATATGTATATCACATTTTTCATTTTAGTCAACGGTACCTTCCCCCTCCTTTTTTGAGAACTTTCCTCACCCCTAAACCTGGCCTTCCCCACTTGCCAACAGGAGAGGAACCCCTAAACCCTTAAACCCTAAACCCTAAAACCCTTAAACCCTAAACCCGAAAACCCTTAAACCCTAAACCCTTAAACCCTAAACCCTAAACCCTAAACCCTTAAACCCTAAACCTTAAACCCTAAACCCTAAACCCTTAAACCCATTTGCCA